GCCGTAGGCAGGCAAATCCCTGAGTTGGGTCCCCACTGGGGGAACCGCAAACCTGACCTTTCCCATGAAGGAAAGGGTCGGCCCTCCTCCCTGCTTCCTGTGTCTACCCCACGCCCGAGGGGTGCCCTGGGGCTTTGCTGCTGACCCCTACCTCTGGGACCTCCTTTCCCTGTAGCTGGGCACAAACAGGCTGCTGATGGGCCACTGTGGCCCCTATGGGCTCCAGCAAGGGAGCTGGCCTGTGCCCGGGAGGGGCAGGGGTTGGGTGCGGTCCTTGCCTTCCCAAGTGCGCTCGCTGGCCGATAGGAGAGACAGAGCAGTTGCACCTTGACCCCAGACTCGGCTGCCGAGAGAGGCTCGTGTAGGGCGGGCCAGTCAGAGGAGGGGCCGGAGGGGTCTCCATCAGGGTGTCTTTGGGGAGCTAGTTGATAGATCGTTTTCTTACATATTCACGCTTTGTGCATTTTTGAAACTGTCTACAGTGGGGCAGAAAAGCAAAATTTTATTCCTATTTTGTCTGTTCTGGAAAAGTTTCAAGAGCAGTTCTGTGGGTTTGAAACTTGGCAGTGGGTGTGCCAGTTGGGTCGGAGGCCGGGGTAGGCTTCCGAATTTAATGGGGCGGCCTGTGGGAAGGCCTCAGGGTTTTGAGGTGCCTCGGTGCCATTTAGCCTCAAAACCTAGCAGAAAGCCTGGACTGCGGGCACGAGAGCTGCTCACTGGCCTGCCGCCCCGCCCTGTGTGTCTGCCGGCATCCGCGACTTATGGCAGCTGTTGGTGAGCCGGCCAGCAGGTGGGTGGGAGCCAGGGTGATGGCAACCCCTCCCCAGAGGGGGTCAAGGCCAGGGGGTGACAGTGGCAAGGTTGGTGGACCCTCCAGGCACCAAGCAACCCCCATTTGGGAACCAGAGAGAGAGGGTTTTCTCAGACTGGGGCACCTGGCCTGGGGTGGAATGGGGCACAGAGGGCTCTGGGCCCGAGAGGAAAGGGCAGCCCCTTCTTCCGGTGGGTCCTCTGGGGCAAGCTGAGCTGGGGGGATCAGCTGATGGGCTCCTCCTCCTCCTCCTGGCAGGTCCTGCTGTGTGACCCCCATTTCCTCCCCTCCAGCCCTCATGTTCCTCCCTCCTGGAAAGCCCTCCCTGCGGTGCAGCCCCATCGTGTCTTTGCGTGCGCTCAGCTCTCCCTTGGGTGGCAGACCTCAGGGACCCCCATGAGCACAGCTGGTCTGTGGGTCAGGGACATGGCCTGGGGGTCCCCCCAACTGGACGGTTGCTTTGAGAGGGGAAGAGAAAGGCAGGAGATGCTGCCCTCGCCCCACCCAGCCCTGCATGGCCCTCTCTGCCCCCCCGGCTTGTACAGAGGGGGCTGGCAGGGGCCCTGCGGGGCGGGGTGCTGGGCACCAGGCCAGGTGCGGGGTTGGCGGCCTGCGCCTTCCGTGCATGGCCACCTGCCGAGTGAGTGGCTGTCAGCAGCCGTAGTCCAGCTGTTTGCACAAGGAGAGTGTTTTCAATGATTAACAAAGGCTGGTGTTGCAAGGTCCTCTGTCTGGGGGAACCCCCCACCCCGCCCGGGCTTGAGTCCCGCTCCCCTTTCCTAGCTGTGTGGCTTTTCATCAGGGGCTTCAGTTCCTCATGCACAAAATGGAGGCGCTAAGAAGACTTGTCTCCACGGCCAAGGAGCAGGTCCAGATTGAAGGAGACCAAAGAGGCATGACAGTCAGATGCAGTCGGTGAACTTGGGCTTCCCCTGGCTCCTCAGGAGGGGTGCCGGGTAGGGCGCCAGCCGCCCCAGGTGGCACTCACAGAGGGGCCCCCAGCTGCAGTCTGCCTCATGGTTTGGTTATGTAGGTGGGCGTCTCTCTCTCTCTCAACGCCTGGCCTTCTGTGAAGTGGGCCCATACCGCCTTCCTGGAGGGCGGTCGGACGGGTTGGCGGGCCTGGCCTGCAGCCTGGGCGTGGGGAGCTCTGTGCGTGGCTGTGAGTACTTCTGTGCCGCCTTTGGCCTCTGGTTTCCCAGCGGCCAGGGTGCAGGGTCCGTGGGCGCCCACGAGGAGAAGGACAGAGCAACCGGCTGCAGGGGACGGGTGGGGCAGGGCTGGCTGGCGCTGGCTCACTGGGCCTTGTAAGCGAGCCTTCCGGTCCCCAGCTCGCGGCCACGATGGTGGGAGCCGCCCGACCAGGCGAGCTCAGTGTGCGGCTCTGGTCAGGCAGTTTCGGGGCTTCAGGACGCGGGGGCTCAGAGAGGCAGAGCCACCCCCAGGGGTCCCCCAGTCGGGCAGCGTCGGGCTGCTGGGCCCGGGCTCGGAGCCGTGTCCCCGGGGGTAAGGGGGGACATCACCTCCTTTCTTCTCTTCAGTGGCTATGATTTTGTGCCACTGAAATGAGAAACCCTAAGTGACAAAGAGGGACAACCCAGAACCTGTAGTGTTGGAAGTAGCCTGAGATGATGCTGTTGTGCGTCTTTCCAGGCAGCTTTTTAAAAAGCACCCCAAAACCCCAGGGCGCTAGAAAGTGTTGAGCGCCTAGTGTTCCTTGAGGTCCAGCTCCTTGCTGCCCAGCTTGCCCCCGGCTGTGAGTGGAGTTGGGGGCTGCTCAGGGGCGGGCTGGCCCCCGTGTGTCCGTGAGGGTCCTGGTTGAGCTTCTGTGCCCCACTGCCGGTGTTCAGGCAGTTTCGGTGCTTTGGTGGTGAGAGCACCGCACTGAGGCTCCGGGAGCAAAGTCTGTGTACTGTTGGGGTTCTGTCCGAGGGGTCAGGGAAGGTGGGTCCATGTCTCTGCTTTGCGGGGGCTGCAGACTGGATGCAGATTTGTGGTCAGGCCACTGCCGGAGGCCTCCGGTGCTGGGAGCGCTGCGCTCCCCCTGGAAACTGCTCTGCACACAGAGGATGCACTGGGGAGCCACGCAGGACAGGAGCTGAGACGCCCGTGCTCAGGCTGGTACCAAAGCCATTAAGCTCCTGGGGGGGGGAGCGGAGGAGGGGTGGCCTGGACCCCACACCTGGACCCTGCCCTGGGGCCTGGGGTCGTCTGTTGATCATGCCGGGCATCCAGGTTGGAGTGGGGGCGGGGGGGGGCTCGCCACTCCAGTGGGGTGCAGACTGGCTCTGAGACCTGGGTGAGCCACCTCCCCCTGCAGGGCCACCCTTGCCGTCACCCGTAGGAGGGGGCTGAAAAGGGCCCCGTTGTTACAGGAGGCTCAAATGTGAGGCGCAGGTATCGGAGCTCTGATGGCGACAGCGTCTCAACACTCCATTCAGAAAAATTAAACACGCACGAAGGTCCAGGAGCGCCGTGGCTGCCCCCACACGCCCCTCCCTCAGCTTGTCTGCTCTCCAGTTCTCAGCAAACTCGACATCGGTCCCACCCACGCCGCCTCCAGACCTCGTGCTGCTGTGTATGCTGAAGCCGAAGGCTGAGTTTCTCAAACAAGGCCCTTCACGGTTGCAGCTGCCCCCCTGGCGGGTGTGGCTCAGCTGGTCGGAGCGTCCTGCTCCCATGAACCGGGGTGGCCCGGTTCGATTCCCAGCCAAGGCACCGTCTGTCCAGGTTGTGGGTTCCGTTCCCGGTCAGGGCAGGAGTGAGAGGCGACCGGTCCAGGTGTCTCTGTCACATCAGTGTTTCCCGCTGCGTCCCTCCCTCTAAAAATCACTAAGCATGTCCTCAGGTGAGGATGAAAAATCGTAACTGTCCATTCAGCGTTCAGATTTTTAATCGCTTTAGACACACGCTCTGTGTTTGGGTGTTTTAAAGGCAGGACCCAAGCGAGGGCTGGGTGAGGAGGTTGCTCAGCCTACCTCTACTCGTGCACCCTGCTTGTGTTTGGAGGTTGGGTCCCCTGTCCCGTGTGACATCCCTGAGCCACCTGTACACACTGCCGTTGTAGCAGGAGGCTGACTGGAATCCACTCCTTTTTTTTTTTTTCATGTAAGAACACCTCGGAGGTAGGGTTGCCAACTTCTAGGATGCTGGCATTTTGCAGGCAGCCCCTGATGTGCAGTGGCTTAAGGTCGTATTTTTTTAAAGATTTAATTCATTTTTAGAGCGAGAGGAAGGGAGAAAGACAGGGAGAGAAACATCAGTGTGTTGCCTCTTGTGCATCCCTACTCGGGACCTGGCCCGCAACCCAGGCATGTGCCCTGACTGGGAATCGAACCAGCGACCCTTTGGTTCGCAGGCTGGCACTCAGTCCACCAAGCCACACCAGCCAGGGCTTAAGGTAGTGTTCTTAACGATCATAAAATCGCTCCATTTCTACCTGGTTACGTGCTGCTGAGTTCGGTCTTGGGTGGAGAACTCCCAGCCTTGGGCTGTGGTCTTGTTTTATTGCCTTGACCTGTTACCGATGAACCACATGGCAGAGTATCCCACCGGAGCGACTGGAAACAGCCAGCAAGCAGGAGACCAAGACGCGGTTGGGAGCGTGCGAGGTCAGCGTGTCGCCTCGTGACACAGCCTTGCTTGCATGCGAGGCCGTTGAATGAAAGCGAGCTGCGCCCCCCCCCCCCGCATGCACTGCCACGCTCGGGTGCGCTGTTCCCCCTTCCAGGACCCGAGGGGCGGCCGGCTCCCCCGACGGCTGGGCCTGGGGAGGGACAGTGTCCGCTGGGGCGGCCCCGCTGCCAAGTTTTTCAAACAAAGCAAGGCCTTGGGGTTGGCAGGGCTGCTCCTTTCACATCTGTTCTTTTAGGTTCCTCCGCTGTTATTCCACACGCTGCCTGACCCCGGCTGGCCCTGTCCTCAGCCTGAGCCCTGTTGTCCAGGCTCGGCTGAGGCAGAAAGGAGGGGGCGGCGGGACCCAGCCCCCCAGCCCCCGGGTGCCGTGCCAACACGATGTGCAGTTGCTCATCTCTCTGCTCTGGTGTCGGAACTGGGACATGTGGCCACCATTCAGATTGATTCCTGCACCGGGGCAGTGGCTACCAGAGGCGGGGGGGGGGGGGGGCCAGGGTGTGAGCAAAGGCGCTGCTTGCGTAGCACAGGTGTTTATGTGGATGGTTTTGAGGCTCCCCTTAGCATCCCCTGAGGAGGAGTCCAAAGGCCCTGGTTCCGTCCCGGAACGTGTAGCTGACCCCAGGGAGCCCCTTCTACTCTGGAAACCCAGCGTCCTGCCTGTCAAGGGAAGGGACAAGCCAGAGTACCTCCCTGTGTTCCCAGGAAGGGAAGACGCGTGTCCCTGAGCCCTGAAGGTCAAGGTGAGTCGATGCATTGGAATGCGCCTCCCGCCCCTGCTGGGAAACATCAGTCTGCAGCCGCCCAGGCGAGGGGGGCCTGTGGGGACATATGCTGCTGGTCCCTCGGGGTGGCTCTGTGTCTTGGGAGCTCCTCGGGACAGTCTGGGTGCAGGTCCCTTCGGCAGAAATGCCATGGGTGCGTGTTGCGTGCCTGTTTCAGGGGCAGGTGACACTGAGAATGAGTCAGTTCCGTCTGGGCCTGGCCTGGGGGACCTGCTTCCGTGGCGGGCAAGTCGGTGCTGGTTGGCGGGAGGCCTCGGTTCCCACGTGGTGAGGGAGGGCATGTGCCTTCACCACGAGCCCTCGCCACGTGGTGGCTGGCCGAACCCACCAGCTGGTTCAGAAGGGAGTGAGGGGGAGGCGTGGTGTCATTCACGGCCCCAGAAGCCCCTCGTGGTGTTTCCATGTTCTTTCCTTGACCACTCAGGGAGGGCGGAAGTCCCCGCAGGGCCGTGAGTGGTGGCAGGCCCCCTGGGTGGACGATGACCACAGTGGCCCAGTGACTGGGAGCAGGCCCCCCGATGTAGCAAAGAGAAAGGTTCCGGGACGGCGTCTCCCTGGGCCACTTTGAGTCCCAGTCCCATTTCTCAGTGGACCAGCTTCCCGTAGGAGCAGGTCGCTGTCACGAGAGCAGAAGGAAGGTCACAGCATGTCTCTGCAGAGAGGCCTGGGACACTGTGGCCGGGAGCAGATGACCACCAAGGTAGAAGAGCATTTTTACCATTCCAGGGGGCAGAGTCACAGCCACGAGGGCAGAAAGACGGGTTGGGCCAGGTGTGGGGCGTGGGAGTCAGGAGCAGGCTCGGGAGGCCCAGGAAAGCCAGGGAGGGTCTTTGACCCCCTTTGACCAGGGCTTGGGGCTGAGAGGACACCTCACCTGGCCTCCTGGCCTCCCAGGGAGTCAGACGGCGTTGCCCTGACTTCCTCAGGTGGGCTCCCTGAGCTGCCGGGGTCAGAGCCACGGCGGGGCTCTCACTCCAGAGCGCTGAAGCTGCCTTGGCCCACCGGGCCGAGGGGCTGGGCTGGGAGTGAGTGGCCAGGTGGGAAGTGCAGGGCTCTGCCTCAGTGTGGCGGGCCCCCCGACTGTCCCCAAGGGCGGGAGAGACAAGTGGTGACCATAGCACAGACGGTTATTTTCCTGCTCACGCCCCCTCCCAGAAACCCGCCTGGAGATCACGGCGCACGGGGGGCCGTAGGGCTTCTCCCCCAGGGGAAGGGCTCAACTTCTGGGTTTGTTCAGTGGGCCCAGCTGTTAGCTCAGTGCTCGCCGTTAGTTGCCCCGTGGCCGACTGGTAACCCCGGTTTTGCTCGACTTCTTTTCCTTGCTCACTATTTCACTCTCTACAGCCCGTGGCCCCCACGCACCAGCCAGGGGCTGTCAGGGTCGCGTTTTAGGACATGCCATCTAGGGTTCCCTCCTGCAGGAAGGCGCCAAACCTCCCCCAGGTGGATGCAGTCTGTCCCCCCTGAGCGTGGGACTATGTTGCTGGCCCTCCCGGGTGCTTCTCCCTGACCCCTGGGCTGTGCCGTCGGTCCTCGTCTTAGCCTGGGCGCTTGGTGTCAGGGGCTGAGTCCGAGCCATGGTCTATCTCCAGCACCTGAGAGGGGTCCCGCCCACAGGGAGGGGCTGGGTGTTGCAGAGTGGGACGGACAGGAAAGGGTCACTGGGAGCGAGGAGAAGCCAGTCTTCCCTGACCCTCGGAGCCTGAGGTGGTCCCTCCTTTGGAGAGGCTGTTCCCCCAGGTTTGGGGGCGCTGAGTGCCAGGGCCCGGAGATTGTGGGCAAGGGCACCTTGCGGAGGTGGCAGAGGGGACTTGGAGCAGCCCGTCCCCGGGGAGGCCCTGCCTTGCCCCTGGGAGGGTCGTGGTGTGAGGGGTTGAGAGCCCGGGGAGTCCAGTCGGACGGACCTGCCTGTGTCCCGGCTCTGCCTTCTCTCAGCCGTGTGTGCTTGGGCGAGGGAGGGGCCTCTGGCCCGCAGCCTTCCCTGGAGGAGAGGTAAGAGCAGGACCCTCAACAGGCCGTGCCTGAGGCCAGCACAGTATCTATACGCTGACCACGGGTCCCGTTACTCATGTGCACAGGTCTTGCCTGCCAGGACTGCACACTGGGGGTAAAGGGGGGGGCCGGGCGGGCTGTGCAGCAGGGAAGCACCTGACCCTGATGACCTCCTCTGAGGACAGAGCTGGAGGGGGGACCTGGGGTGCGCAGGCGGTGTCCGTGGGGACATGGGCCTTTGTTCCCCTGTTCCCCACCCTGTTACCAAACAGCGGGGCTTCCTGTAAGGATAAGAAGTAGAAAATGACCCCAGCACCCAGCTGCGTGCACAGAAGGGCTCCCCGAGGACCAGGAGATGCCCCTCCTCTGTCTAGGGGTCTCCGCTTCCTGCCTCCCAGCCCCTCCTAGTCGGCTGCCTCACCACCGAGCCCCACATGATCCCAGTGGGGAAACTGAGGTCCGGGGAAGCAGAAGGGGACCCAAGCTCTGGTGCGTGGCGGCGTGGGGCCCAGGACTGCGGGGTTCTCCGAGGGTTCTGGCTGTTCGAAACTCCAGGCCTAGGGCGAGCCTGGCCCCGGTGCGGGGCAGCTGCGATGCGGACGCAGAGGCAGCAGGCCAGCTGGAGGCCTTGGACTGCTCGGGCGTGGACCAGCCCCCCGCCACGTGGGTGGGGAGGCTGAGGCTCGGGTCCTGCAGTGGGTGGGCAGCGCGGGGCTCCACGCCAGGCAGCCCTCGCCTCTAATTGCCCATTAAGGGTGCTTTTCCTCCCTGCCCCAACCATCGTCTCAGGGCTTCTGATGGAGTTTTTTGGTGCTTGTTTTATTTTCACTTTTTGAAAATTGTTCCAGCTTCAAGCTTCCAATTTCCATGAAGTCATTGGAGCCAAGAGCCCAGCCTGACGGCTCCCCCCTACTGCCGTTGAGGGCTACGCCGCATCTGGGAGGGGGGAGCCCATGGACCCTGAGAGGTGCGGAGCCCGAGGCTCTGCTGCCCCCACCAATGAGCAGGAAGTTGTGGGTCCCAGATGTGAGTCACTGGCATTAGGTGTCTGGGAAAGAGCCTTCCCATGTGTGAGCCGGGTGCCGGCTGTGGAGGGGCAGGCGGGCTCAGACCCTGGCCCCGCTGCCCAGGCGCCCTGGAGCAGAGCCAGGTAAACCGGGATGTGGGGATGGGCCTACGGGGGCCACTGGACAGCATCACGCCCCCCCCCCCAGGGCAGGCAGGGTCGGGCACTGGATGGAAAGGACAGGGTCTGGGCTGGGGGTTGGGGTGCTCTCAGACGCTCCCGGGCAGCCAGCCGGGTGGGCTGGCTGCTGGACACAGGAGCAGCGATCATGTGTCCTGGCCTTTTGCTGCCTGGCAGGAAGGTGGCCGTTGCTACCACGGCGTCGTTCATTTATTGGGCCCGTCCCCCGTGGACTTCTGGGACCCTGGACTCTGTCCAGGTCGCAATTGTGTGTGTCCAAGTCCTCTTCACTTTTCTCAATGACTAAAAGTGAGTGTGGGAAGGGCAATTGAATTTATTAGGTCAAAAAATAAACAAAAAGCCCAAACTCGGGAAGGGATGCATGCTGACACAGAACCAAGAGGCTGGAGGAGAACGGACTGGTTCCTGGCAGCCCCTCCCAGCCGGAGGCCCCGGGACCAGTGTGGGCCATGGCCAGGGGCTCCTTCCGGACCTTCCCACGAGTTCATCAAACACGTGTGCGCAGACACGCGGGGGAGCAACAGCCTCTTTGCTGCCACCGCCACATGGCGTCCAGGACAGCTGGCACCGCAGGCTTCCTCCGTGGCCGGCCCTGGGGGGAGGGGACAGGGGCAGGGACGGGTGGGGGAGGGAAGCTGAGGGCTGAGCTGGGCGCTGAGCCTCAGGGCCCCTGGCCCCAGGGCTGGCTCTGTGGGGACTGTCACAGCGCTCTCAGCCTCGAAGTGCAGGTGGATAGTGTGAGGGGGGACCAGGCCGGCCTTTCTCAGATTGGGGGCCTGCTCGCCTCGGGACCCTCTGGTGGAGCAGGCCTCTCTGTGGATGACCGTGTTTAAATCTGTTGGCTGTTTCACACATCAGGAGAGACGGTCTGTGACGAGGACTGTGAGTGTGCGTGCTCACGAATGTGTCTCGGCCCCGGACATGACCGAGGAAGGTGCTGGAGTGAGCAGACTGGGGCTGTGGGGTGTGGAAGAGGGAGGGAGGGGCTGCTCCAGACGCTGGGTCCTCAGAAGGGAAGGTGTGTGCTTTGGAAGAGTGTCCAGTGGCATTTATGGAAAAGAAGTGGCCATTTTCCAGGGGTGGGGGTGGTCTCAAAGGGCCTCTGTGCCAGGGCGGGGTCTGGGGGCGTCATCTGTGGGCCGTGAGTGGTGGGACACGGCAGGCCTGGGCCCCAAATAGGCTGCAGGGGCTCTTCTAGGGGAGACAGAGGTCTGCCTGGATGTCACGGACCCCTCTTTACAGTTCGTAGCTGCTGCGTTAACCTGGTCCCTGCCTGCCGCCTGCTGCCCTGTGTGGGAGGTGACTTCTATGCCCAGTTGACAGAGGAGGAGACAGAGGCCCAGTGGGGACTGTCCTGTCCTGCTCACACAGTTGGTGGGTTTCTGGGGTGCACTCACCCCCCCCACCCCCGCCGAGAGCTGCCATGTTGGAGGTCAGGACCCTGTGTCGGCCTGTGGAGAGGCAGGTGCGACGGAGCGGGACAAGGGGGGGCAAGGGGGGCGGGGGGTGGCCCTCACAGGTGGGGTGAGGACACGGGTTCCTCTGAGGGAGGCTTGGGCCTGGCGCCCCACCTGCACCGGCCGCAGGTGGCCAGGCCTGAGTCAGGCCACGAGCCTTGGACATGCGCTCAGGCCGTCCTCAGGTGGGGGGGGCAGATGATGGGCCCTGTGGGCTTTTCCATAACTAGCCAGCCCACCACCACCAGGGGCCACAGAGAGGAGGCTGGTCCTCACCCCTCCTCCTGTCCTGGGGGGGGGGC